ATATTCAAGATTCCCTAACAAGCTCAATTTGACAAAAAATAGACGTATCAAAACAATAAGGCTAACCAAAAGAACATTTGAGAAGTAATAAAAATTTATAGATTTGTTAAAGACAATCAAGATATTGATAAGCTTCGCAGATGAAGTTAGGTATGCATGTCTTCACTAGCAATCTTCTACTTATATACTTCACAGCAAATGATTACTGTAGCAGGGCAACAAAAACTGTTCTTTTCAACAAGCTAGAAGACATTATAGTAGACAATTTACTTCACATTTCTAAAATTTGGGAATATTAACATAGCACATATGTTTAAGTTGAGTCATAATCCACAAAGATACTTCGTATATATGTGAAGTGTAGGTTTAACTACTAAACATAAACTAAAGAATAGAGTACTAACTTGACAAGGCCATCTTCCAATTTGTACTGCTCTTCCTCGGTCCACTCAACAGCGAGACCAGCATCGTGCTTTAGCCCAGGCACCGAATCCAAAAGAAGAGTACCAGATGAACTGCCAACAGGAGTTGTGGTGGGACTGCTACTACTAATGATGCTAGAATTGTCACAAAACATTAGATTTCCATTACTACTATTCATCCCATAATAGTTACCAATTGGGATCATCTCCGACGTGCTATTTACTGCCCCCGACTGAAACGATATAGCATGTCGATGCAAACTAGCAGCTAGGGCGTCTTCCTGATGAAAGCTTGTATTAGACTCAGCTGCCATCTCTACTGGCTCCAATCACAAAATTCACAAAGAACTACGCCCACAAAAGAATCGTACTTTCAAATGTCACATGCTCACATTGCGTGAACTCTACACCTAGAAATCAGAATCAAATCATAAAAAGCACTTTTAAGTCTATAACAACACATAAATTATCAAGGAAAATCAAAGAAAAAACACATAAAATTCAACTCAAAACTTCAAATAACCTCATTAGAATCACTAAAGGAGCAAACTTTAACTAAACAAAAAATTAATTATAGCACAAAAATCAATTACCTTAATCTAATTAGTAATTAGATACCAAAAACAGCTAAAAATAAATCAAACTGAAAATTTACCAGAAACCCACAAAAATTAGGAAAAAAGAAGAGAAAATAATCAAAACCCAGCTAAAATTTACAAATTCCCAGAAAACCCCAGAAGCAGCTCAAAGTAGAAATCTAAGGGAAGCAAGAAAATTCAAAAAAAAATCATAAAGAAAGTACTAATCAAATAAACAAGAAAACCCTAATAAAAAATCAAAAGTAGAGAAAGAAGATACCTCTAGAAAAATTGAAAAGGGGGAAAATAGTAAGAGCCCTAATTGAAGGGGGTTTATGAGATTTCTTCTTTATCTTCCTGGAAAAATTAAAATACCCACAAAACAAAACAAAAAACCCAAGCACCACCAACGCTACTACTTTAAAGTGTGTTGCTTTATTGTGAATTGAGGAGAGAGATCGGAGAAAGAAAGATATCTGCCAATGGGAAGACGAAGAAGGGGGGGCAAAAAGGTGGGTGGGGGAAGAGAGAGAAAGAGAGAGTGAATGTATGCGTTGGTGTGTGAGAAAATTAAGAATTTATTTTTCCAGGTTTTGTTGTAGTGTGTGTTGTTGCAGATCTTGGAATTCAGCAACAGTGAGAATCCCAATAAGGCAGCATTTGATGCCAATTATTGTGGAGCCTCACCTCACACCCCTCGCCTTTTTCTCTCTCCTCCCCTTTACTTACGATATGATTGAACCGGCATCTTTCACAAGTATAAGATACAATTGAACTAGTATTTACTACAGGTATACAAAATTAATTGATACAAAGGAGAGTATATTACATATTCATGGGTCTCCACCATTAACTCTAACATTTAGTTGAGTTGATCATTTAACATGATATTAAGAACAGTCTAATGGACACTTATGTGAAGGAGTGTGATAGAGTGTAAATAAATTTACATTAATTAGTGTGTTATTAATAAACGTGTTAAAATTTAAACAAAATTAGGTTAGCATAAACAATATGTAATATCTTTGTAAAGTAGTTTAGTTAATGCTATTAACTTATTAAGCATTACTTCCTATATAAGAAAATTTCTTCCTGGAAATAAAGTATTTATAAAATTAATTCATGCCTTTAAGATCATAAGTGATATCTCTTATCAGTTATCACTAGACTTAGAGTCTATTCTGTTTAGCTTAATTTCAGTTCTGCTTCAATCAGTTCAGTTCAATTCCTTATTTCCTTCTCTCATAAACAATTTATTTCAACTCTATTCAATTCAGTTCAGTTCAGCTCCAATCAGTTCAATTTAGTTGTTTTCAATAAATCGAAATAGACCCTTAGTACTTTCCGATGATCAGGTATCTTACTCATAGGATTTTAAATTTGTGTAGGTTTGTGATTTTGTTATAGTAGTATATATATTCTTTATTATTATTAGTGTTGTTTGCTTTCTTTTTAATTTTGCAATGTGTTATTTACATGCTTTTTTCTAATATGTCGTTTCCACCCTTCTTTCCCAACCATTTTGCAACTTGCAAGGAAAAGAAGAAACAATGCTCAAAAAGAAATGAAAAGGAACAAAGAAAGTGCGCCAAAGAGGTGTGCATAACTACTAGTAATATATACATATGCACACTACAATTTTTTTATTTAGTTGTACAAAGTAGCAGAAATCCATTACTTTCTTTTTTCATATAACTTCATAATTATATCTAGCCTTAAGGCTATATAAAATAAGGAATAATTGAACTTGCATGAGTTTTTGTTTTACATAATAAGATGAAGTTACTCAAAGGGGAATAAATATCTCAAACTATCTTGGTAAGACTCAATCTTATGTTTCCACAAGAAAGTTACGACTATAAGGGGCCGTTTGGTTGGGGTTAATAATCAAATGGAAAGGGTTCATTCTCTTTGTTGTTGTTTGTTTGTCATATTCAATCATTCCTTTTACCCATTTTTAATTTTGAGTTCACCCCAAATCCCTCTACATTCATTCCCCACCCCCCTAGACTTTTCCATTCCCATTCCCTAGCCACCATTACACCACTATGCCAACATCAGCCGCACCCTTCTACCCTACCCCCGCCGCACAGCCACCACCTATCCACCTTACCGCCCCTTGACGCACCGCCTAGTCACACCGCTCCGCCTATTCGCACCGCACTTCCGGGACCATTCATCGCACCTAGCCTCGTCGCACCACCCCTGTCACACCGCCCTATTCGCACTTCCCCTCAAAAACCGCACCACCCTAACCACACCGCACCGCCCTGTTCGCACTTCCCCTAAAAACCGCACCGCCCCTTGTTGTACCTCCCTCGTCGCACCGCCCTTGTTCGCACCTCCCCTACCCCTGTTTGCACCGCCCCTGTTCGCACCACCAATAATTAGGGTTTTGTGTGATGGATAATTAGGGTTTTTGAGTGGGTGGGGGTTTTTCGGGGAGGGGAGGAGTGGTGGAGGTGCGACAGGCTCTAGGGGATGCCAAAAAGGTGGTGGCTGGGCGGTGGGATAGCCGGAGGAGTGGGAAAGTGAAGGAAAAGGGGGTTGTGTGGTAGTGGTGGTGATTCCCTTTGGTTTTTGTAAAACAAACAACATGCTATATGGAATGGGTTTCATTCCATTCTCTTTGATTCCCTTTGTTCATTCCATTCCGTTTACCTTGTGCGAACCAAACAGCCCCTAAGTTTGATCAACTACCCTGAACTCTTTTCCTCCTCTTAGTTATTGCATTGGTATTTAAAAGTGAAAAGTAATAAAGCATTGTAATAATAATTTTGCACATAAAGTGTTATGGTGCACTAAAAAAAAAGTTTAATTTTTAAAATCTGAAATTGAGGGCTAATATCTAAATGGAAGCAAACAAGTTCAACATACAAGTTATTAGCTCATATTGCATAAAAGCTCTTATATGACTATCACAAGATTTGTATAGTGATTGTTTAGCATTGGTGGGATTGAAGATAATGACGTGTGAGTAGTTCATGCAGCTTCAAACCTAACTTTCAAAAGTGTAGCTAGAATATAAATTCTAAACATCAATTTGTACATTTTATATGTGTCACAACCACATTGATTCAATGACAAAAACACTAGGATTATAATTAATTCTACAACTTGTTTGAACTCGATCAATAATGGATTGCACATTAGAATATATGACTCATGTATATTAATAATAGATATCCAAATTTAATGGTGTTTTATCACTCATATTGTCACTATCTTGAAGAAACATAATTAGCAATTAATACTAAATCAAGACGAGAAAAATTGCATTCATAGTCTCATGTACTATCATGATTTTTCGTTTTGTCACTATTAAAAAATGACAAGTTTTTCTTCAAGTCTATTTTCATATATAAGAAAATACAAAAAGAAAGTTTTACTATTATAAGTTATAACATGTTAATAACACCAATAACATGTGATTTTGTCATAAATTTACAAATTGTACTCCATGCCCCTTTTGAAACTGTGTTTAATTTTTTTTTTTTTTTTTTTTTTGGAGGGGGGGGGGGAGTTATAGATAATTTCAACCTTTTCTTATTTTTAGAATTTGCAAAAAAAATATATGAATTTTGAAAATCCAATTTAGTTATATTCTATAATTATTTACAGCTAACATCTATGCATCATCAATAATTCTCACTCACTCTCCATCCTAGACTTGAGTGCAGTAATGATTAATTTCGCACTATTGTATCAATCATATAAAAACAATGTACTCTAGAAAGGAAAAAAGAGTTTTATCTCTGATAACTCCATAATTTTCACAAGCACAATTCTTTGCAGAGGTAAAAGAAAGAGGATCAGGACATCACTTTTATAAAACAAGAATTGACATCTATGAGAATGCTTCACATTAGTATATAACATTCAACCCATTTTCGCCGGTTTTTAATCCTGTCACTTATATGCTTATAGCCCCATGTCAACCAGACATCCTGCCAGCTGCGGATTCTTTGAACAGACAAAGCTATATGTTAAAGATTCTATCAGCAAGCAAACAGGATTTCAGGACAGAAGCACAACAGCAAATTTACAAAAGCATATCAGAGATTTTACAGTGATATTGCTCCAACCACAAAGAAGAGTCCTATAATTTGCAGATGAAGTAAAAGCAAAACCAAGAGCATGTCTACTGCACCTATAAAGGTCAAGAAGCTGGCAACAGCCGACTGCGAGCACGGGCTCTCTCAAGTGCCTTTTGTCTCTTGGCTTCCATTAGTGATTTTTGATCTTCTGTAATCTCGGTAGGGTTGGGGCTGCCAGCTCCTACAACTGATGATTGATCTGAATTCTTCATTGATTTGTCACCCAGGGTAGCAGCTCTTTCAAGAGCCTTCAGTTTCTTGGCTTCCGTCAGTGATTTTTGTTCTTCTGTTATCCCAATAGAGAGGGAATTTCCACCATCACCTAATGATTGATCTCTTTGTTCGATTGAAATGTCACTTGGTGGCAGATCAGCACTTATAGCGTTAGATTTCCTAGATATGGATGTTTCCTGTTGCAAAACAAGTATCAGTAAGAAAAAAACTTAGGTATCCCAGCCAAAATAAAAAAGGAAAAGGTTGACACAGGTCTAATTTATGATCAATTTATCAGTTTATTGGCTTAAGTGAATGCCTCGATTAATTTCCTTAATCTCAATAATTATTCCATTCTATTGCTTGCATTTGATCTAATTTTGATAAGTTAATCATGCCAAATAGCCTCTAGACTGTCAATCACAAGTCTAGAAGAAGTTACGCTTTTCCTTTTCCAAGTTCTGAAGAAAAAAGGTATCATTGAAATTATGCTTTTCAGAAACAAACAAAAAAAACAAAAAACATAACAAATTAAATTAAACCAAGAGTCTGAGACCCTGGAAGAGGTTTGGAACTTACTTCAATAGTCTTGTCATATATTTCATTGAGCATGTCATCATCATCATCATCATTCCCATTGACAGGCATGTCATGCATCTCATCAACATTAGTCCCATTAAATGTCCGGTCATGCATCTCATCAGCATCATTTCCATTGAAAGGTAAGTCCTCTTGATTATGAGTGGGCTCATCCACATTTAGGACATCTGAAAGAATCGAATGGAAACAAGCATGTGAAGAACTGAAATTCATCTAGAAATTTCTAGGTGCAGATGTTCAACTGATTGATTATTACCAAAAAAAAAAAAAAAAGAAAAAGAAAAAAAAAGAAAAAGAAAAACTTCTTCAAACATTATATAAAGCTGCCTTAGAGTTGATTTCTCTTGGAACCTTTAAACCTGTAACTCAAGTCCTACTTGAGCACTGATAAAGTTTCCTTTTGAGGCGCATTTCAATATTTAAGCTTCAACTAAGACAGATATACAGCTCAGAGAACATACATAAATATGTGATCAAAGTCCATCTTATGGCAAAAGGGTCCTCAGCTCATTGTTAAGAAAATGAATTTCTTCATATTCCCTAACATCTCATATCAAAAGGTTTCTTGTGAAGAAAACTAAAAACAGATACATGCTGTTACAGAAAAATTCTTTTGAAATTAACCAAACCTCATCTGAATGGCTAACAATAGTAACCTCAACCCTTCAGCTATGTTTGGATTAGAGAATTAATGAAGGGGAAGGGAGAGTGCAGTATTAATTTTCTTATGCAATTAATTTAGAATTCATGTTTGCTTTCCAAAGAAGGAAAGACTTGGAAGGAAGCGCAAGCCTACTTCTCACTTCCCCCCTCTCCTCCCTTTCCCATCCCCCCACCATCGCTATGAATGATATCAAGACACACACTTATCTCATCATGTCAATCAGAAAATCAATCATACTTGTATATAAAGGAAAAAAGTTCAAAGAGCTTCCTATCATCATGTAACAATACCAGCTTCCATGCTATGATTTCAAGAGAGCCAAGTAGAATAAGGCCCTAGCATATTGACCTTTCAAATCACAATTAAAAAGGCCAAAAGGTTTAATCAGGAAATCAGTTTCTTCACCATCTTTGGATGGGCAGGACATGAACCTTGTCAGTTAACAAAACTACTGCTCAGTGCTCACACTAATATCCCTTCCCACCATTTTTATTTAAATTTTAGAGGTTGTAGGTAAATCAGAATGAAAACAAATGCCACGATTTTAAAGTGAGGCTGCCAATTATTTCAGGCTTCAATCCCTTAAGCAATCCCCAATTTCAATTAGTTAACAACCATGTCAGGCCAAATTTTGAAAATGCAGCCCAGGCACGGCCCATGGCTTAACAAGGTGGCTTTGTGTAGGGCTGGGTCTTCCTGGTTACTAAGCTGAGCCACTACTCACTCTAACCATGTTAAGGTTCATCCTTTAATCAGAATTTCATTCTAAGTCATATTGGTCATCATTGTCTGTAGGTATAAAAGACAATAATAAGCAAAGATGAACCTAAGAGCTCTCTCAAATTCCAAGCCAGGTTGATGGGACAGACATAGATTAAAAAGCATAAAGACGAACCTAAGATGGACCAAAATATAATGTTCAACCTTAGTTCATCATAATTAAAGGTTTGATTAATATTGGATTCCCTTCTCACAAAATAGAAAAGCAGAAACCAGACTATAGAATTATATCATGTCATTTATCCATTCAAGACCATTGCGAAACCAGCTTAATATGACTGACAGCAACATATAAAGAAAATAAACCCTCCTCCTTTTCCTTTTTTAATTTACTCACTTTGACTATTGACACTATGTACAAAGTAACTTTAGATTTGTCTTGATACGTAATTTTAGATATAAAATTTTTACAATTTTTGCGCGAGCATAATAATAGATATTAATTCTTAGACTGTTACCTCGGTAAGCATAAAAGGGTGAAGTGTGTAGATTAACACAATAATGGAGGGAGTACAAAATAAGAAATGTTCTGTTGTGGCATACAGTAACCTCATTGAGCCTCTTATTTGTTTACTTCAACATGTTAACATTTTCAACCAATAAAATAATACTTTTACTTCTCCTTGTAAGCATTAAGGAATAAGATTAACAGTAGCTCCATCTTCAAAACAGTGACAATTTAACACATAGGACAAGTATAATACTCTGAATATGTGCAAAGCAAATTAGGATACCTTCTTTATCGTACGAGATTTCATTTTCAGTAACTGACTCGTTCAGTTTCGTGGGATCCCCTCCATTAGCAACTCTTTCTTTTAACTCAGCAATGCATGTCTAGGAACATCAAATCAAAGAGATCAGTATCAAAAAGTAGACCAGGAAAAGTAGAATTTACTCTAGCAACCTGAGATTTTGTCATTTACACAACGATAACATAGTTTAAATCCCAAAGTAGATTAAAATAATGACAGGCTGACGCCAAGGGGATAAAAATTCTAGAGAGATTGCCAGGGTGTTATCAACTTATCACTTCATCACTTATGCACGTACCCGATATGAATTCAAGAAAATTAATTGACTCGGCTTTTTCTTATTTGAAAACAATGGCCTGAACTCATTATATCCTTTGAAATGTTTATTACAAAGAGAAAAATCACACAATTATATTGACATTCAATTAGTCAAGGCCATTCACCACTTTAGATCAGGCAGCTTGGTGACAAGGAAAACCAATGAAACTAAAATACTTGTATATTTTAAGCAGAACTTAAGACCAAATTATAAATCTGGGAATTTGATTTGAGGAAACTTAAGATCAAAATTTTTAAAGTAAGAATAATAATATTAAGAAAAAAAAAAAAACACTTGACAAAAGAAAAGTCAGACTACATAGAGAGATAATAGCAAGCATTTAAGAATGCTAGGAGAATTAATCCTCAGAAAAGAAATTTTACCTTCACACGTTTTGAAGATCCAGCTTCCTCTACCTTGTGTATGAACTGATCAAATGGAAAGTATGGAAGTAATTGTGCATGCCATTCAGCATACATACGAAGTAAATTCCTCAGATCATTGACCTGTAGCAGATATAAATAACGATGATCACAAATTCACAATACATCGAACGAATAAATATAAGTTCATCCATTATTTTGTAATCCATTAAATTTTCAATGACCTTATCACCAAGCATAGCTATTCTAAAGATTGTAAAGTTCATTTGAGCATTTTCTCACAAAAAAATAAAAAGCAAAAAAAGGTTCATTTAAGCAGTTTCATCCTTCAATCAAGTCAAGTGACTTTCTACAAAGTTGAGAATGTACATTAAATTTGATATTTGAAATTAAGTTAAAAGCTATCTTACTTGGATGCTTTGGGCTTGGACACGGGTACATGTCAAACTTGGCTATTTTTCTACAAAAAAATGCCAAGTCTTTTGCTCAAAATAAGTGTCAAAGTGTACATACCCATGGATTGTCAAAGATCCAACACAGATGCTGAATGTGAAATAAAATCCGAGTACAACAGGTCACAGGGGAGCTTATTGTTAACAACACGCGGAACAACTAGATGGAATGATGACAAATAATGAAATAATTCTTCGCATTTCTTATAACCAATGTTCCTTCAAAACAAGTAGGTACAAGTATCAGGTTGATCCTATCTTGGTGTCATTTCCAAACACAAGGACTCTAAACAATGATTGCTTCTTGTAAGACACATTAAGATAACCTAGTACTAAAGCCTTCTTTCCACTTACCATTGACAAGTTTGAAATGTCATTTATTGAAGCTCTGATTACTTTTTTTAGCCTGCAAAAGCCGTGCAAACGGCCATATATGAATTAATCTCGAATCACACCAATCAACTAGTAGATTTTACAACCAGTTCACTACCCACATCCCAATCCAAAACGCGGCTTGAATCTCTTCACACGATCTTTCACCATAACAACCACCATTCTAACATAATTTACCATCTCCACCCTTCACTAAAAGGGCGTTTTTATTTCAATTAGCTAAAAAAGTGCAACTAATCATCAAATGAACAAATGCACCATTTTCCCAAATTCATCCTCAATTCAATCAAACAATCAACAGAAAACAAAAGGAATCAAATCTTTACCTCATGACCACGACCTCTGTACTTGAAATTACGAGGAAAATAGCGGAGAATGTACCCAAGACCTTGCTCAGAAAGCAGCAACTCCGGGGTAAGCTTAGGCCGAGTTCTAGGCACCTTCTTCGGCTTCGAAGCAGAAGCAGTAGGCTTCAATTGGAAGCTACTGCTGTTGCCATTACCACCATTGTTGAACTTTGAGAAATTGTTGGAGGATTTTGGGAAAGAAGAAGTTGAATTGACATTAGGGTTAGAGTTAGGGTTAGGATTAGGGTTAGGGTTAGAAGGACAGTCGCGAGACCAGTGACCAGGTCGGCCGCACTTGTAGCATCCCGTCGGAGCTGCGCCACCGTTTCCGGCGTCGCTCATGATCGTAGGTTGATGTTGAAATTGCAGAGGATCTGATTTTTGAGATTGGGGATTTGAGTGAAGAAGAGGAACAATTTCTCTTCAATTTTCAATTTTTATATAAAGGTTCCTCGTTTTGGCGGGTAAAATGGGAGGGAAATTTTTTTTCGTTTCGGGTCAAATACGTAGTATTGAATTGTCGTGGTCGGATCTGATTTGGATTATTTGATTCGACTAAAATTTTAAAACTTAGTCGTAGTCGTAGATTGAATTAATGTATAAGAAAAAAAAAATATTATTTCGTATTAAGTGTAATCTTGTAAGACGTCTCAACGTAAATTTTTTAAATATATGATTTTTATGAGGATTTTTTGACTTTTACCACCAAAAAAAATCGCGAAATTGTTTTTTACTACCAAAATTTTTAAAAGTTTTATTTTACCACCAAAAAAAAAAATTAAAAATTGTTTTTTACCACCTACCGTCAAAAACCTAACAAAATATTTTAAATTCTTCGATTTTTGTGTCAAATACATCATATTTGGGGGGTCTTGGGGGCATTATGGCTCTACGGAACCAATTTGAGGTCGGAATCGACAAAAAATGATCGGAAATGCTTCTTTTTGTGCATTTAAAAATACCTCGGTTTGCGTGAAACACGCAAAACGAGGCATTTTCGATTTTTTTGTCAATTCCGACTTCAAATTGATACCGTAGGCCCAAGATGCCCCCTAAACTTATGAACAACATGTTTTGCGCACGAAAATCGAAGAGTTTTTCTTAAAACCGAATTTAACGGTTTTCTTGACGGTAGGTGATAAAAAACAATTTTTAGAAATTTTTTTGGTGGTAAAATACAACTTTTAAAATTTTTGGTAATAAAAAACAATTTCGTGATTTTTTTTGGTGGTAAAAGTCAAAAAATCCTTTTTATGAATATGAAATTAAAGTCGGTAATTAGCAAACAAAAAAAATGATATGATCTGATTTGATGAAATTTTCTAATATGATCTAGTTTGATTTTTAACAAGAACAAGTAAACTTTTTTTTTTTTTTTGCTTATTATATTCACAAAAACACAACCAAATCTTGAGTAATTTACTAATGTTAACAAAATAATAATAATAATAATAATAATAATAATAATAATAATAAAATAATAATAATAAAAAAAAAAAAAAAATAATAATAATAATAATAATAATAATAATAAAAATAATCTCCAATTTTTCGATCCTTTTCATCTTCCATCACTTAGATTTTTCTCTAAGAACAAGAATTGCAATCCTAAGATGGCTAACCCAGTAACAAAGTCCATTTGCATCAAACATTGCCTAATCGATTGTCTAATTGTATTTCTTATTTGGATGATCTATTTGTACCATTTGACATATGCAACAGATTTATATGCATAACACTTCAATCAACACAAGTGTATAGTATTGCTCTAATCAAAACTAGATCTCATTTTATACTATTACCATTTGGAGCGGATTTTGATATTAATTTTCAGATTATTAAAAAATAATCAAAATATGGATTATTTTGGATGGACGAGACAAAAGTCACATTGATCCGGGCAATTGTTTCATTTTATTTTTCTAGATTTTTTATTTTTTTTATTTTTTTATTTTTTGAGCCATGCATTTGAGATATATGCCTAACACTTCAATTAACATTAATGTCAAATGATTTTTCTTTTTTAAATTTATAAAGTATATTGGTTCACTAATGGTAGAAATTATATTAATCGCAAGGACACTCACTAGTTGGTTTATTAGAAATGATCTAAAGTATTCAATATACAGTACAAATATTCATGTCAGATGATGATAAACTCATAAATCCCCAACAAAACAACATTAATAAATCGCTAGGAAGATACTTCTTAGCACTTCACTAATTCTCAATCAAAGAACCTGATAAGATTTACAAATCTTCACCTAAATCCTAATGGTTCTGTTACACACCATTAATTTTTGGTATAGAGTATATATAATTATATATCTATATTAATTTTGGAATTGAGATTACATAGGAATACATGTAGCTTAGCTACGACTCCAACTTGCAAGGACAGAAAAGACAGCCACATCAATTCGACAGATAGAGTACAGAACGAGGAAACAAGGCAAAACAGGTTCTTGATCTGGAGAAGCAGAATCATGGTGTAGATGCGCACTCCCATATCTTAATTGTTCCTTCATCGCCCGCTGAGGCAAGCAACGGTTTTTCCTGCATGACAATAGTGCATACATGTCAAGAATATCAATAGTTGGACATGTAAATAATACTTTATTGCCCGCCCATCAGATGGGGTGTCAATCAACTATGATGATGTTGCACCATCTGAAACATGCACTCTTATCCCCCTTTCATAACCGATCATGGGAAGATCCCACAAACTATAGAAATTAAGCATACAGGATCACAAAGATGGTTATAGGGATGGCCCAATGTCCAAGGTAAGGCTATGCTCTTACATCCAAATTAAATATTGGCACTCTCATGATGTATGCCAGTTATAGCTCAAATGTTCTTTCAGTCAACCTTCAGAAAACATTTCCTAACATAATCAGATAGGGGTGGATTACCCAATCTGCTGTTGTATAATTTGTAACCCTTTGCATACAATATTGGAAGCATATGTGTTTTTAAAGCTACAAAGAAACAAGAACGAAGGAGACGTCATGTTGAGGCATACAGTACAAATTTACTGATTCATTAGCACCTCACCCCCCCCCCCCCAAAAAAAAAAAAAGAAAAAAAGAAAAACCTCCCAAACATCAAAAGAGCAATACACAAGCTTCCAAAAGAAAAACACACTCCACGATCACACCGTGGCTAGGACTGAGGCCACAGCCAACACGTGGAAAGCAAAAAAGGACACGAGGTTTATGTGGTTCGGTCAATGAAACCTAATCCAAAGGTGGGGATCATGGGAGCTTTTCTTAACCTCTAATGGAGAAATAACAAGAGGATTACAAGGAGTCTTTTTAATGTGGTTCAATTTGATGATCACCCAATGGTTCCTTTTATAACATGATGAAAACCTAATAACAGCATAAATGATTCCACAAGAATCAACCTTATAGCTGTCTTGAGCAAGCCATGGCAATTGAAAAGTGGGACAAAACTACACTTAAGCAAGCTATGAAAAGTGGCTGGGGCATTACAGCCATACTAACCCAAACAGTAACAAAGTGCAACGAACTCAGAGGCTCAGCCACGTAGCATAATTACATAAGCGAGGAAGGACAAGAAAGGACACAAAGCGCTGTTAAGAGAAGAGGAGGTAGTGGAGCAGCAACAATTTCAGCGAGCAGCAATAACAACAAATGACTGCTGTAGGGGGGTAGGCGTATCATTGGCAGCTTTTGTCTGATTGTAATTTTGGCTGTTTTATGTATTTATAAAAAGGGGAAGATGGGTAGGGCTTGTTGGATGTATAGGCATTGTGAGACTAGTGGCCTAAAGTCACCCTTTTGAGTGTAGTGGCCTTAAGCCACCACCATTGTAAGAAAGTTCTGATCTTTGAATGCATGAAGTAGTCTCCTTGCTTCCCTTAACTTGATTTTTTTTTAATTTCATTCAATCTTTTTGCTTGATTCTATAGTTTGTTACACAAAGTACACAACCTATACCTAACATCTGTTCTCACCTCAACAGTCAAACCACCCCCCCCCCAAAGGAAACCCAACCCCCCTTAATCAGTTTGCCAGATTTGCACAAACATGTTAGCCATTTATTTAAAAAAAAAAAAAAAAGTTTTTACCGCAGGACTCCATTGTACAGAATTCACATCCATTTCATGAGCCTTTTCTTTCTTTGATAGTAGTTTGTACATGGGGCCGTCTACCTGAGAAGTACAAGAACAGAACGAATCACCACCTCAGATGTGTAGAAAACAGGTTAACTTAAAGCATAAACCACACAGTTAAAAAGATAGCTTGCAATGTGTGCAATTTTTTATGCTAGGCTTCAAAAATATATATAAATTTAATCACCGAAACATCACCTCATAAATGCAAAAAATATATTTCATCTTCATGTTCACTTGAGAAAATGCCCAACAGAACAAGTGAACGTCAATTCACCATCTCAAACTTAAAGAAAAAGTTCATAAATTAAATTCACAGTTCAATCCAGCTTCTTCCAGCGGTAGCAAAGCATATTGCAATCCTTCGGAAACAAATTTTTTTTTTTTAAAAAAAAGTTGCCACAAAAACCACCTAATTAAAGCACACAGACCCTTGTTATCTTTGTGTTCGGTAAATTTTCATTTAATGCAACTGAAGTACTTTTAAAAATAACAACAAAAGTAAGTTTTCCATCCATCGAAAAATATCCCTATATCAATACGAGGTCAATAAAGTTTATGTTCTCATGCTTTCTTCTCACTTCCATTTTTAGGCCACTCTAATTGATGTCACCACACACGATTGCTTATTGTTTTGTTTCCTTTTTTACGCCTTCTCATTTCTCGTCCTCTTTCTCCTAATTAACCATTGGAAAACAATGTGATTCCCTTTCTGAGAAAAAAAAAAAAAAACTGCAAACAAAATTTCTCAAATTCTAACTCATTTACAATATTATTAGCTAAATTTGAGATCTTTCTCTTAGTAACAGTAAAATTCATGCAGAATAAATGAAAATTTAAACACCTTGGTGATTGATAAAAGAAATCTAGCCAATATTTACTGTCTACACCAGCCACTTTCTATCATCAAAATACTTGTCATTGACAATATTGGCTTGTGAATCAATTAAAGCAACCCCCATAAATGTAGTTGCAGGAGAGCAGTTGTTACAATGTTTGAATTCATCAATTAAAATGCCTGTCTAACATCTCAATTTAAATTACCCATAACCCAACCAGTCAATGTAAAATAATTTTACAGGCAGATAGCAAGCTACTTGAAATGACTGTCTTCTTGCTTTCTTGTGTGTATCTAAAGAAAATGCACTAGAAGGGCGTTGCTGGAACTAAATCTACCAAAACAACAGTCCAGAGCCTCCAGCATCAAAGGAAGTTGGCTTTAATGTATTAACTTCTAACACTGATGAAAGGTGGCAGGAGCGACATTAATTCAAGTTCATGTTGTAGCCTCATTTGTATTGATAACTTGTTTCTCTACCCCTAGAGTCACAAAGTAGTCACTAAAGTGTAAAGAGAAAGCAGGAGATATAGCGTACCAGCCCATCATTGTTCTCAATAAACAAGCGTATAGCATTATCTGCAGCCCCAGTGGCAATTACACCATTCCTACAAAGCCATAAGTCCTTGATTAAAATTAAATAATAGTGATGAAAACAAAGGGGAAATAAGCGACAAAAATCTAAGGAAAACATCAAGAGTAAGAGATGAATACAGAATACATATACTAGGCATGAATAAGCATCTTCCTAAGCATGGTGATTAAGCTTAATAGAGCCTCGTTGCATTTCTGTACAATAAACTCGGATCAATATGTTTTCATTCTTGTATTCTTAGACACTCATCATTCTGTAGTCTGGACAGCATCAGTCTATCAATGATACAAGCACTTTCAAAAATTCCTGGTTGTTAAGTAATAAACAAGAGTCTCTATTCTATGTTTTAATACAAAGCATTCAGAAAAATAAACAAATAAAACCAAACCAGCCAAAAAAGTCATCAAACCAATCCTGTAAATATTTACTGCACACTTGCAGAGTTAGTGTCTAGTGTATTAAATCAACATCATAATATAGTTCTTTTATGCTTTCTAGAGTTTCTACCAGAAGAACACATGCACATGTACAGGAATCCTTCGAAAAAACCTGTAAAAGAACAAACAGTATAATATGATGTTGCATTATATTTATCACAGACATTATTAAAAAGTTGTTTTTGTAAATTCGATTAACTGGATGCAACTGATCTATGCAAAAGTAACAAGGATTACACGTGCTTAAACTTTGAAGATCTACGAGACTGCATTAAGAATTTGCTTCAGTGTCACTTGCAAATATCAATATTTTAAACCTTCTTTTCCCATTGCCCGATTATATAAAACCCAGCAAATAAAAAGAAGTGTTCAAGGGCACTTAAACTATAGCAAAGTGGAAGAGAAAGGGAAGGGAGAGATGAAGAAGGAAGCGGGAGGAATGGAAGGGGAGGGAGAAGGTAAGGCTACATTTTCCCTCCAAATCTTTCCACCATTTGAAGGATTTTGTAAAGAGGGAGTAAAAATGAAACTTTCCATTTCTCTTCCCTTCCCTCCTATCAAAAGGTACCCAAAGAAGGGAGGATAATCCCTTCTTTTCTCTTCTCTTCCTTTCCCTCCAATTCTCTCAATCCAAACAATGTGTAAATCATATACACCCATACAAGAATTAGCAAGACCACATAATAACAAAGGTTCAAGCAAAACAGAATACAACCTTGACCAATGAACTGAAAATATCGTGCGATCGTGATAGCCTGAGATAGTGCAAAGGTGTTTCCTGCAGTAATATAACAAATTAGCACAAAATGTCAAGATCTATATACCAAAAAAAAATGCTGCTGAACAAGGGCAGCAATAGCAATAACTAATAAGTGAATACACTATTCACACACTGCCCTTCAACCATTCATTGTACTTTTGCACAAGGAAAAATAAACATGTGGGTCCTTTTTAGATTTTTCTTGATGTATACTCTCAAAATAATAAAATTTAATAATTTAGTAAAGTAAAAGTTGTGGGTTGGGATGTGTTGTGATAATAAAAGGGCAAAGGATGCAAAATCTAACATTACATGTAGCCTCCACTTGTTAGAACTTAAATCGGCTAATTTAATGGTACATTAGAGCAAATCGAACATGATGACGTCATCTAAACCATGATATTCAACAGTTTGTAAATACCAAAAGCTTGATAGTAAATGAGTTAAAATCATTCTAACTAACTAGATAGAGACCTTCCCGAGTTCAGCATGGTATTGACCTTGATAGAAACACACACGAGCATCCATCTTAGTATCTCAAAGAAAGATAAATAAACATCAATTACAATTTTCTTACCAAGGTGCAAAGCCATCACCAGATTCTGCATGCAGGCTGTCAGTTCCCCACACTTTAATAGTAAGATCATCACTGGAGAAGGAGTTTAAATACCACATTAGCTACAGCTATATTAATGCTTGAGAAAGAATTGGTCAAGAGAAAGGGTCACAGCGTACCTACAGGTTACCATTTTGTCACCACTAGCATTGAAAGACAAAGCCCATACTGTTGAAGTATGCCCACTGAAAATGCACAATAGAAGTTTAAATAAGCTGAGAAGAATTGACTAGCCTAGGGGGAAGGGGCACTTTAATACAGATTAACTGTTCTTATCTTGAAGAGGAAGACAGCTAGTTAGTTACGAGGTTTAAGAGGGAAGGGAAGTGAGAAAGGCTATAATTATAAGAGAGGGAAGGAGCAGAGGGGGAAGCAAAAAGTTGAGGAGAGTTATATTCTCTATTTTGTTTAGCTTTGAATTTGAAAGTGTCCGGCCACAACAAGGACTGGGATTGTTAACACCACTGTTAATGACTAACTAGCATTAACATTACAATCATCTACTCCCTCTGTCCCTAATTGTTTGCTCCACTTTCCTATTTAAGGTGTCCCCAAAAGATTGCCCCATTCTACTTTTGGCATGTTTTCCCACTTGCACTCTCTCTATCTCTCTCCTCATTGATATTTGTGACAACCCATGTGCACCATTTTTTGCCCAAAGCCTATATAAAGTAGATTTATAGTTTGGGGCAAACAATTGGGGACAGAGGGAGTATCAAATTTTCCCCAAATTCTCATCCTCTTCCTCATTCCTATAAATTTGATTTTCCATTCTATAACAAAACATGTTTCCTTGAGGATACCCGTAATACCAACAGAAATATAAATACATGCAAACATTAACGAGGCTTCCAATACAGCTTCCAGATAAACAAAGGCGTCTTGAGAAGGCGGAAGGACACGGGAAAATGACTAAATTTTCATATCAAGCAGCAGTAGAGCCATCACAAAAGAACATATAAATTTGCTAAACGACCAAATAAGAAAACACACCATGTCAATAAGTGCACAAGAAAGGTATCTAACGATTAATAAGAAAACACACTTTTTCTCACAAGTTAAAAAGTTGATATGGCAACCACACAATGCTCTTATCTATGATTCATATTCACCAATTTGCCTAGTCAAATCAGACAGAAATTAAATACCACTAGACATCTGCTATAGAAAGAGCTGAGTAGTCACTATAACATTGACAACAAAATGTCCTTAACAATATCAGTGTGCAAGAGCTGACAACATATGCCAAGACAAAAGCAGACACAACTCACAGGACAAGGTATAGGCATTGAACACATACTGAAAAGTCAGTACATTGCCACACGAGCTTTAGACAATTCAGTATAGACCAGAGCAAGAGAGAAGGATGGAAAATGCAAAACCTAACTCACGAATCTACTATATCTGATTAAACTCATCTAATTCCTCACAAACACCCCTGAAACTGTTGTATCACAATTCTCAGGAAGAAACAACCTTAAATAATCCTAGGAGCTCTCAAGATTCAATTTTCCCGAGTTATAGCATATCAATTTTGCATATAATCCTAACTAAAGCAAGCCCAACAATTCCTGGTCAACTCAGAGAATCCACTGTAATAATATGCTCAATATATGAGCAGACTGCATTTGAACCACAGACACCACAGAATCAACTTTAAGGCATTACACCACTATATCTTCATCTTGTTTTCCTATCCAGAGCCCAGAAAGAAAACTTGCAGCAGATCCAAAACAGTACCCGGTATTCCCGATATACAGCAAATTGACGCCTCCAGATACTGAATGCAATCCCACAAAGAAGAAAGACGTGTGAATAATACATGCTATTGGAATCACAAAATTAGCCACTTTTGGTCTTTTCCTTTGGAATGTATCACTAGCGTTGAATTTGATCACCCAAAGCAAAGGTCCACACAAAAGCTCTCACATGAAATGTAAATGGCAGGAGTATGCTTTCCAAAAATTTGTGAATAATTAATTCAATGCATAATGACATGAAATGATGGCAAAAATTATGCTCATGCTTAATTCAACATGTAATTGAACATACTACATTCTGTTGCTGAAGTATGCTCATGCTTAATTCAACATGCGAATAATTTGTTGAGGAACACAAATTTTAACACAGAAGATAACACTAAAAATGACGCAAAGTCATATACCTGTTGGCCTCATTTAGTGTTTGAACACAATGCCAATCATCATCCCCATCTTCGGCCCATATCTATCATAGTGAAAGTAGACTATTATCATATGAATCAAATCCTAAGATTAATGCCTAAACTAAAATCATTACTTTGTATAAGATATAAAACCATTGTTGATACGCATAAAAAGGATTGCACATAATAAAGAAAGAGTTTGTACCTTGATACTATTATCATAGCTACAAGAAAACAAGACATCCACAGTAGGGTGCCACTGGACCATTTTGACATCCTGCGTATGACCTTGCAAAACTGACACACACTCAAATTCATTTCCGGGCTCAACCTCCCATATCCAAACAGATTTGTCTCGCCCACATGTAGCAATTAAAGACCCGGCTGCATTCCAAGACACACTTTTCACTTCATTTTCATGACCCTGAACAAATTATATGCCAGCATAACTCTATTATATACAGGCAGAACTGAAAGTAGGTATCAGTAAAATAAAATAAATAATTATATATAAATAAAAGAAAGAAAAAAATGGAATATAAAATTATGCAATTGAGAATTCAATCAAGTATAAATTTAACCATTTCAATAATTTACACTCTGGAATACAAGAACAGGAATTTTTAGTCGATCAAAAATCAGTAACCACAAGTCCAAAAAACAAGTCCTTGTCAAAAAAAATAAATAAATAAATAAAAAATAAAATAAAATAAAAACAAGTCAAACATGATACAGTGTAAAAGTGAAATCAATGAATGCTCTAGAAAGTTAGCATTTCCTTATTCATATCCAAACATCATCAACCATTACAATCCCACCTACATGTCATAGCTTATACAATCTGAAGTTGAAATCTCACCCATTACAGCTCTGTTTTATTCAAGTTACTTTTCCAACTTATCATATCTGATTATTAAAAATTACTCTGTATTTATCTAAAAAGCAATGAATACCTCCAAAGTTGAGATGCATTCAAAATCACCACCAATATTTTCCCAAATGGCAGTAGTAGCATCAAAACTAGCAGTAGCCAACATATTCCCCGAAGGAGACCAAGCACATGATCTGATAGTTCTCGTGTGTGTTTCCTCCAATACTGCCTGCATAATAACACAGCCCACATTGTTAACGATTAATCGTCGACTAACATGAATTGCCAGAAAAAAACATCCGCAGATAATGGAACAAAAAATCTATATTTACCTTGCAGTGGAAGGAAGCAGAGGAGGGAGATTGTTCCCAGATACGAACAGTCTTATCGCCGCTACAGGAAGCGAGAAGGTTGGTGTTCGTGGGGTTCCATGCAAGGCCCCACACTCGATCTGTATGACCTTCAAGGGTTTGGACATGTCTCAGCTCACCCATTTCGTCAATTGAATTCATCTTCTATTTCAACTTGTGATTGCTTGCTTTACTGTAAAAGGTTTAAATTTTCCAGTCTTGATTGATGATGATGGCGACGTAATTCCTATGGAAAATGTTCTCCTTTATAAATATAACCTTGGATCTGTTATCACATAAATGCACACTAAAATAAATGTAGGACAGCTTAGTTTTATTCAAGTTTCATACTTGTAAAACTACTCCTATTTTAACATATAATTCATGACAATATATATATATAGTGTGCAACACCAAAACAAAATGACAAATTGTATATCATCCAACACTCCAACCCATTAACAAGTTTACATTTTACAAACTATGGTAATAATCCGAATTTTTTTCTAAACCCCATTAACAAGCTATGCCAATAATCTGCATTTAATAAGTCCTAAAATCTCTAAAAACCCTAAATTACTAATTTAAAACCCTAAACCCAGCAAGTTAATTATCTTTGAAAATCAATTCAGAAAGATTAATATCAAACCCCAGCAAGTAAAATCAAATTAAAAATCAATTGTTAATGGGTTTAAAAGTTTAATAGCAAATTCAAAAGAATTAATAAACATCATGAGCTTCCAACCTCCAAAAGTAGCATATAAAAGCAGACAAATCAAAAAAACAAAAATAAAAAAGTATTCATATGATAAGCTTATACTACGAGCATAATATAAAAAGAAAAAAATAATAATTTTTGTAAAAATGGAAGAGTTAGAGCTTACTTTGAAATTGTGAATTAGGGATTTGAGGAAAGTGAGCGAATGAGAGACTCTGAAATTGGTCAGTCTCCGATCGCCGGAGTTCTGATCGTTTGCCGTCCGGGTGGATGTCGCTCAGTCGTTTTGCTCAGGTTAGAAAAAAAAAAAGTGTAAGGTTGGGCTATGAGCCTATGAGGTAATTTGGATTGGGCTTCTAATTTGTATGAGTAGAAGGTAAAACAATGAGTCAATGAGAAATAGTAAATCTGAAAATCTCCTTTATAGGGATGACAATTTGGTCCATATTCGACCTTAGAGCAAGTTTAGCCCCAAGTATTAAAACTTGGATGTGACATCATTTTTTGTGGTTCCCATTGAAAATGATGTCATCAAATTCTTATTAAAACTCACTAAGATTTACACAAATTTATCACTTTAGCCCTAAAACTTAAATATTTGACATATTATATGTAGAAAAGTGTAAAAATAAAAAAATGGATAATAAAAATAAAAATGAGATGGGTGAAGTGGGTCCCATCTCAAGTCTTAAGTTGAGTCTTGAAATTTCAAGACTCAACTTGAGACTTGCTTGAGATTTTTGAAGAAAAATGGGAAAAGTCTTAAGTATAAATCTTAAGACTCAAAATGATGATGTCACCCCAACTCTTAAGACTTGGGGCTAAACTTGCTCGTACTCTGCCCCGATCAGAGGAAAAAAAATCTGTTCTAAGGGTCAGTTCTCATTGACTGAACTGAACTGAATTTCAACGTAAGAGAACAAGCCCTAAGTCCGACAAAAAAGTAATCTGACTCCGAGTCGGAGTGGAAATCCGAGAAAAAAATTCAACGTTGATGGATTATACGACTCCGACTCTGATAGATCGTGGATTGGGTGTGGGTCGTGGTGGGTTTGGGTGTGGGTGTGGGTTGCAGGGCCCAAATAACCCAATGAACAACCAGGAAAAAAAACTCAGAGTTGGGTCGGATCGGAGTCGAAGACCGAATATTGAAGTCGGATCTGAGTCGTATGTTGTAGTCAGATTTAATCTACTCCTAGTCCGATCCATTGTCATCCCTACTCCTTCCTCCTCCTCCTAAAAAAAACTAATTTACTATATTTCAAAATATTTAGTTGATATAAATACATAACTAGTGTCAATATAATTGTATAATAAATAATAATGCATAATTATAATTTACACAAAATTATGGAGATCCAGATTACAATATAAGAAGAGAAGAAAGAAAAATCAGGAAATAATAGGCAAATAAAATTACATAGTTAATGTGTATCCAAAAAAAAATAAAAAAATACATAGTTAATGATTGAAAATTGAGGAAAAATACAAATTAATTTCATGATATAAAAAAATTGTTTAATTAAGGGTATAATAATAATTACAATAATTTATGGGTAACTTTGTAATTATAGGGTTTAAATTACATTGCATTAATGGAGGATGGAAGATTCAAAGAGTTTCAATGGAGAAATTAATAGGGGGCAATAGAGAAATCGAGCTCACAAACAACATTAATGGAGAAAGGCGAAAATTCATAACCTTTGATATTAATCATGCCCTCCATTTCTCCATTTTTTTTAGGGTTTTGTTTAATTTGGCAGTGAAGCCGCAGAAATAAGGTGGTGGGTCACAAGGAGGAAGCTTCAATTCAATGGATCCATTTGAGGAAAAAGTTTGAATGATGGCAAAAGCTTTAGATGGTGTGAAAAATAATTTTAGTAATGAGTTAGTGCACTTCCTTGTTAATTACATTTCAGTTTAACTATTACTCCCTCGTGTGTTTAATAAGTGTTACATTTTGACCTAACACGCATGCCGAGACACTACTTTGACCATTAATATATCTAATAATTTGTTATTAAAATCATAGGAAATTTTATAATATGAAAGTATACATTATAACGAATCCAACAATATATTATACAATGAAATTTGTTTTTTTTATATATTGGTAAATTAAACAAGTCAAAACCATTATGTGAATAGTGAAAAAAAGTCAAACAATAACACTTATTAAAACACAGAGGGAGTAGATAAATATCATATTAATCAATTGGTTCACCTCGAAAATTGATAGACTGATTATGTACATTGAAACAAAAGTTGTTTTCTATACATACAGGGGGCACTCATATGTATTGACCTTTGTTTAGGGGGCACTCATATGTATTGACCTTTGTTTTACGTAGTATAAGTTTAAAGTTTGGAGAGAAATTTTCAATTACGAAGATGGAAGGGCCTATTCTCTTTAACTTTTTTTCATTTCAATTCCTAATTTTCTTGTCTCATAAAATATTCATTTCACTTCAGTAAATCAGAACAGACCCTAATTTGGATATGTCAAATTTGTTTTATAAGTCGGAATCTCATAGTACCTTTGTAATATTTGACCTAGCTAAATTGGAAAAGGTATTTAATCGTTGGGAAGATTTTAAAGTTAAGTGCAATAAAAATGTGAATACTAAAGTGTGAGACATTACAAAAGTAATTTACTACTCCGTAATTAAGAACAACAGTAAGAACCAAGGGAAGTAGCAGTGAAACATTATGATATGGTATAATGCCTACATAACGGAGAAGTGACTAAGGGTTTGTTCTCTTACGATGAAATTCAGTTCAGTTCAGCTCAGTTCCGCTCCGCTCCTAATTTCCTTCACTTATAAAATATTCATTTCATTTCAGTTCAGCTCAGGTCAGGTCAGTTCAGTTCAGTTCAGCTGAGTTCAGTCAATGAGAACAGGCCCTAAATGATACATGTGATGCACTACATGGCATAAAGACTACTAAAGTACTAAGTACTCCGTATGAAGTACTTAGCATCTATTACTTTATACTCCGCATGAAATATTCACTTATATAGGCCTTTATAAGGTGTAATTGTCTCGTAGGTTTAGAGCTAATAGAGTTAAGAACTGGCAAATTTTATCGAAACTATAATTCATAGTGAACAAATTTCTATTCAACATACTCCGTCCTCTTAACATCATTGCACTAAAAAAAAAAAGCAAAATTGACCTCAACAACATGAGATTTTAATAAGGTGCATGTAGCAACATGACCTTTGAGGCTTTGAGTCTTTGACTAGTAGTTGTAACCGCATAAACTTCTTCATCGGGTGCACAAAATATCATAAAATGAATCCCGAATGTAGTTGCATCAATTGTAGTTGCATTTAGAAATCTATTTGCATCAAATAAATTTACATCAGCGATAACATTACAGATTTGCATACAACAGAATGTAGTACCTTACTCCTTATTCCTGAAAGAGTAGGCCACACCACCAAACCTTTCAGGAAGAGACTAATGTTTATCTAGCATGAATTTCCATGTACATAAATGAAAGCAGAAGATCCTGCTAACAACATATTACACTAGAAGATCTGACAAAGGAACAATTGACAAACAGCTTACGATGTCACATGTATCCCTCTTTCTTACTCATGTTTCTTTCCCCAGTGGCTTCTGGAAGGAAGCTTACTGAGAACACGAGCATCAACCTTCTTGTAATGGTGAGTCATTTGGTTGATGAGATTTTCCGCAAAGCCATCAATCTGATCATCATATTTTTCATACAGAACTGGTAGTGTGTGTGCAGCAACAAAACCTGATGCCAAGGAAGATATAGCCAGGACTATTCAATGAGTAGCGAGATAACAGAAGCAAAACAATATTATAGCAGCTTTTGTCATATAAGGCAATACAAATTCTACATAATAACTAGAACAATTTCTAACAACTAATTAGAGTAAGAGCAAATGAGGATCCTTGGAACATTAAGATTTGAACAAAAGAACACTATGACGTGAACTAACAGGTAATATACATAATGTACAGAGAAAAAAAAATTTAAAAAAAATAATTAAAAAAGAAGAAGAAGAAGAAGAAGAAGAAGAAGAAGCTACATTATAAGTTCGACCATAGATATGAGGTATAACCAAAACATTTTTTAAGTGGTCAACGACATTTCAATGAAGTTGGGCTATGTTTGGATAACAAAAAATGGAAGGAAAGGAAGGGAAGGGAAAGGGAGGGAGACAAACTTCCTTGTTTGGATAATATGTTGGGGGAGGGAAGGGGAGGGAGAGGAAGGGATCCATTTTCCCTCCTCCTTTAATAAAGACCATCCCTTTAAATTTGGAGAGATTTGGAGGGAAAATGGAGCTCATCATTTCCTCCACTTTCCCTTCCTTCCCCTTCCTCCTATTTCCCTCCCTTCCATTTCCCTTCTAATTTGTTATCCAAACATAGCATTAATGAGTGTTGTAAGGGAGTGGGATAGAGGAGGGTAAGGCAGAAGTGGCAAATAGAGTTTTAAATTGACATGATATACAAGAAAATTCACGCATGTCACCAACATCTAGTTGCTCAAAACCCAGTGTAGTTGTATAGGCAGATTTCGAATTCAGGCATCAAATGACCAGTAGACATGCTGTTTATTTGGTAATATAAGCCATGTGGAATTTTGACAGTTACTAAAAAAAAATCCCTCATGTTAAACCAGGAAATCATCGAGTATCAGGTATCACAATAGAGAAGATAAGTGAACAGATGACTCAAACATGCTGATGTGGACTTTACGAAATTATCCAAGACAGGCGAGCAGAATGCAAATAGGGATATAAAGTCAACTTAGGTTACACTGGAATAGAATTAAGATTGAGAAATAGACGGATATAGAATTGCACCACTAACTGTGAGAAGCCTGAGAACAAGAAAGAAAATATTTAGAAGTAAGATATTGACTAGTATACTGTGGGCAAGTTCAAATATTAGTGTTAATAAAAAAAGTTCCTAATGTCCATAATAGAGAAATCATGTCAATATAGAACCACAAATGTTCAGAGGCATCCAAAAAGCAGGGACTAATGGACATCTAATGTAGTCTGTTTTATGACCCGATTGACAAACAATCAAAACATTGCAATAAACTGAAGCCAGTGATAACTAATATTACAACAAGAGTCAAAAACTCTTACCAATGTAGATAACAGTTAGGAAATTGCACCAGCTCCCTATCATAGCAGCAACCACCAATCCTGATACAACCTAAAATGACCAAAGTCAAACATTGCATTTCTTTTACTAAACTTAATTCTGGTTGAGTAAGAAAAAGGGCTGAACAGAGGAGGTTATAAGAAAGGAAAATTGAGCATGTGCAATGGGATAAGTAAGTTATCCATCAATCCTCGACGAGTCAAAAAGAATGTACAGTGCATGCATATACAGAAAGAAAAGCAAAGAAATTGTACACTGCTTTAAACTAGATTTCAGCACAACACTTAGACAATGTACACATTTTAAACAGAACAAGAAAGAAAAAAAATTTAACCAGATAACAATCGTGTACTAATGTGAGTCCTCTTAATTTTTGGAATCCTAGCTCAGTAGAATTAATGGTGGCATTCCATATATATAGGAGTTGTACCATAGTAGGCTACTCATACTGTATCCCCAGCTTAAAAGAGAGCCTCATGTGAGGACGGAAGATTAGTAAGAGTTCTCATTGATTATGAGTGACACTGTAGAGAGCTTGAGAGTTCTCAAACGAGAGTTATTTTAGTAGCTATTGTTTGTTGTTGGTAATAATATTAGTAGGGTAAAAAAAATCTTTCAACAAAATATAAACCTTTTTGTTTGTATTGCCATCATTATACCGGTGTTGCTGTATAAGGCCATGAAGTAGGAATGACAAAATTGAATAGACCATTTAAACAAAGAGCCAATGTAACAAGTTCTGATGAACTAACAGACTAACAGAACTGAGACCTCACTGAGTCACATCACTACTAAATGGCCCACTAAATAGAAAAGGAACACATAAACAAAGCAAGATTCAACATAAAAGCTGCAATTCAAATGAGCCTCAAAAAAGTTTCAGATACTTTCAGAATTACTTTCTACATCCTCATATATAAACAGGCAAGCCTTTCAGAGGTCTGTCCAAACCAGAAGTGTGAGAAACTTGGGACAGAAGCTGAGACAGTGAAGAGGACTTCACAGTAGATCATCAGAAGATTAGATAAAGGAAAGAAGGAACAGATATATTACACACCAGAGCAAATTGCTTTAGATTCCCACTGCAAGCAATATTTTGAAGATACATTAAAGCACGGTTGACTTCTTTACCAACTACCCTGCCAATATCAGCAAACCACTCATCTGGCACTTGAATTCGTGGGACTTCAGATGGTGATCTGTAATAAAGAGGTACAGATTGTTTCGGACTTAAAGGAAAACTCAACTTAAAATATTACCAAAAAGTATAAAACTTGAGCTATACATAACCTGTTCAAGAAACCAGAGGCATTTGACCAAAGAAACTGAGCAAGCATGCCCAAAGCCACAGCAAAGCAAGCAAGGGACAGGAAATTGTAATTCAGCCATTCAAACATCACCCAGGTAGCAGTAGCACCAGCTAAAACACTGCCAGAGATTTTTTTGTTCCTCCATAGCAAGACATCAGCAGCTGCTCTTACAAACAAAATAAAAAGTTGGACATTTCGATCATTCCTGACGTTGAAGGGCTATAACAAACAACAGCTCAAGTAAGGAAATGGAAGAGCAGGAAAGGAACAAGAAGAGGCTTACATTTTCCGCCTCCCAAAACTTTATGCACAGGCTCCTGACGTCCGAAAAGACGATTAAACTTAGAAGCGACAGGATTGGATACTTCCTCCTCAAGAAAGGAGCCAGGGTTGTGTTTTTGAACACTATCAGAAAATGTATCCATTATATTGTTGAGTAGATTCTCAGGTGTAATGTTCTCAGGCATTTTCCCTGTAAATCAATACAACCAAAAATCTATTCAGTCATTCAGACCAATATCCCATGGGGCTGCTTGCTCAGATTGTTGCCTTAAATTTCATTAAAAATAAAAATAAAAAAAATAAAAAAGTTCAGTAATAAAATGTGATTTCAAATTATTTCAGACAACTAATACAAACAAATCTAGTAAATCCTAAATCTGTATAAAGTCCAAATTTCCACTCAACTATTAAGTATACAAAGATAGAATTTACTAAACTCTACCAAATGGTCTTGTAATGGTCTCCAAAGTCCCATAAAATAATTGCCCGACTAAGATTAGCCTTTCTTTTTTTGGCCATGCTAATGTGTATTCAAAGTGTAGCTCACATACTGTGGAGACAAAGTGAGAATATTTTAGCAGCTTAAAAGCCAATGACAAGCCAATACATCCCCAGCTTAAATGACCAAAGCTCAAACTGAATCATTGACACTTAACCAATAGTCTCACTACTCCGTCAATTGTTTTTCAAAAACTAAGCATCAAAATACAAATGAATAGAATGAAATGTACTCCAAAGTAGGCAACTAAATAACCATTTTGCATTGTAAACCATTATTGATGCAGTCATCTAGTGCACTACAACAAGCTAGGCACCGTGAAATGGTGAAAGTGTGTATATAGTAAACTCTAGAGGATAAGCATTCACACAATGACACCTAAAAGACACAAAATTTCCAACAATTACTGAATTTAGTCAAAGCAACCACCTCCCCAACAAAAAAGGTCAAGACTGCAGTTTGGATAAATCTCTCAATCAATGACATCAGTTTTAAAGTGCTAAATGCTAGATATCATCATATCCAATACTCCTAGAAAGGATTCATATATCAAAAATCGTAATGATGACTACTTTTACATTTTAAATAAAACATTTGCCACTTTTTATCTTACAAGAACTGGGTATCTATCTACTGTATAAGAAAGCAAAAGAAAAAGTCACCCTATAAAGGCACATATAAAAGAAGTCACTCAAAGTCTCAAACCCAAATACAAAGGCTAGTTTGAAAATTTGAAAAGTATGCGGGATAGCAGAAATAAATAAAATTATAAAAATAATAATCTTCATTTTTTCTTTTGTGATCTGTTGTATTTTAATTAGAAAACTTTTCTCAATAATTGTACATATTACGGAGTATCAAAGACAATGATAATGATTTTTAACAAAATCCTTCAAATCCACTATTAAATTGGGACAAACGAAGCAGTAAAAACCTCAAACCCCCTACATCAAATCACAAGAAATTCAACAACAAATACCCATTTCACAAGGTGGGTAAAACCCAGAATTGACCAAGATGAACAGAAGAGCTAAAAAAAAAAGCATTAATTTTTTTTTTTTTTTTTTAGAGTTTAAGAACCCCCATCTCATAAACATTAAAAAAAAATACAGTCAATACAATTGAACATAGAAGGATACAAATTCTCAGGGTAGTACTTCTAGTGCATAGAATATAAACAAAATCTGAAATAAACCCAGCAAATGAAGAAATCGATAAAAAAAAATACAGGAAATTAAAGAACGAGAGAAAATGAGGAACGAACCAATGAAATTAAGAAGAAGGGTAGATGGGGAAGTGTGGGAGGTTGGTTGGTTTTGATGAAAGTGCGGTTAAAGTTTGAGTTTGGGAAATTTCTGAAAATTGTGGTTTGTAATTTGTATAATTGAATGATGACAGTGTTGTCAAATGTCAATATAAAACTAAGGAGATTGTTGGTTTCATGGAAAAGTATCTCACGTTTTTAATCTCATGTTTTGGCGTCTTGATTTGGACCAATTATTCTGATTATGCTGCTATATCCATAATAACCACGTGTGTGCCTCTTCTCCTCCTTGGGAATTGATTTATTTTTTTTGTGCCTCCGTCGTTGGTCGTCAATTATATCTGTTTCGACTTTGGCTCTGATCTCTTCACTTTTAAAATATATATATATATATATATATATATATATATATATATATATATATATATATATATATATATATATATATATATATATATATATATTAGTTAATTGAGTAAAAATAATGGAGTATCACTATAGTTAAAAATAATTTTAGTTCAACAAAATTAGGCTCTATTCTCTTCACCTTAAAATATAATATTAAGTAAAAATAAGTTCAGTTCAGTAATAATAAGATCAGTTCAGTAAAAATAATTTCAGTTCAGTAAAATTCAGTTTTCTTAAAGAAGAATAATAATAGAAAATCAGTAAAAATAATTTCAGTTCTGTAAAAATAATTTCAGTTCTGTAAAATTAATTTAAGTTCAGTAAAAATAATTTAAGTTCAACAAATATAAATTTGTTTTAGTAAAAAATAATTTTAATTCAGCAAAAAATAAGGTGAAGAGAATGGGGCCTTAATGTTATTTTCAACAAAATTAATTTTAGTTCATTATAAATAATTTTAATTCAATAATCAAAGTACAAAAATTCTAAAAAAAAACAATAATAAAACCAAATTTTGAAAAATATAGAGTAATACATTAGAATTATATGGAGTATAATTTTTAAAATATTTTTTTGAATGGAATTGGGAAGGGTGATTTCATTAAATAATAATATTTATTCGGTACTTACAATCATCCCTTAAGAGATCTAAATTCTCATTACAAGAATTAAAAATCCCTAAACTAATGGCATCGCTTCTGAACTACTCCGGGATAATTTTAGATGTCTTTGCATCGTTCTTGACGGAGCTCCATTGATGTATAGTCGCAAAAGTGATAAAACTTGATTGATCATCAAGATCTGCAAATTTGCAAAACGGATCTTCTATATCTGCACCCCTATACCAACAAACCTGCAATTTCACAAATTTGCAAAATGAATCTTCCAAATTAATATCCCTGCACAGACAAAAAACAAACAAATAAACAATATTAAACCTAACATGGAGGGACTGACTAAACACTATATGGATGGACTGACTATAATTATCACCATACTGTTGGTTGACAGGGTCAAGTCGTATCCCCTAATCAAAAGTATAACCTAAATCCTCTAACTAATGTAGATAGAGAAGTAGGGTCGAATCCACAGGGAAACAAGTCTTTCTACTCCTAATTAATTATCATAATCTAAATTATCAAGGTAACCAATGTTGTTGTAATTAAAGACTATACTACGAAGAATGTGATCAGAGAAAATAAAGTAGGGAGAAATTAAATATTAAAAGGCCTAGGGCATAGGTTCACTAATAAACAATATTCCAGGGCAAATCATAATAAACAATCATCAAGCATTGATTAATCAGATTATAAAGGGCTTTCGCTACGTATTATAATCACAAAGTTAATTTACCGGTATTAAATCTCATCTGTCGAATCTCGACTTAACCATTTATAAATTAGTCCGCTTATTGAAACTAAGCCTAAACATCAATTCTCATCTGTCGAATCTCGAATTAATATTGCTAAACTCATACAATTAAATATGGCCAAACCTAATTGCATAGTATTAAATCAATCAATAGGAAATTAACCAAGCATTGATAATCAACAATCACAAATTTACCCCTTCATATTATTTATTAGATCCCCATAAACCCTAGAAATAAAACTACTCAAGCATAATTAAATTTAAACTAATCAAATCAATAAAGCAAGACATAATGAAAGAATTAAATAAAATAACTGAAATTAAAAGAGAAGAAATTGTTACCAAAAGAAATCTGGATTAATGAATGTAATTAAGAACAATGTTGAGAGAGAGTTTAAGAGAGAGAGAATATTCTAAGTAGAGAGAGAAAATCTAAAAGAGAAGGTAATCAAAAATTACGTACAAAAATCGTACTTAAACATCCCTAAAACAAATCCTTAAACAAAACTAATCGGGTCCTTAGAAAAACACGCGCCCGATCGGGCGAAGGGCCGCCCGATCAGGCCCGCCTTTTTTACTACGCCCTTGCTGGTGTGCTGCGCCCGATCGAGCCTACGCTCACCCGATTGGGCGCGGCCTCTTCCTTGATGCTGCTTTGCGCGCGCCCGCCCGATCGGGCGTATGCTTGCCCGATCGGGCCCGGCTTCTTCTTCGAGGCTTGGATTTCGATTGGGCTCGATTCCTCAGCCCAATCCGGATTTCCTCATCGGGTCTTGGTTACTTGATCCAATTGCCCCGGTATCACATACCGAGCCCTTAATCACCGGCTCTCACCGGTCCTGGGCTTCAAGGATGGTCGTGTCCTCCTAACACTCGTAGTTGCTTCGTGAAAAACCCGAAAAACGCTCCAAGTGTGCAATTTCCTACAAAACTCAAGCAAGTAAAACTACAAAAACACTAGAAAACACAAATTAGTAATAAAAGTGGCCCTAACGAGCCAAAAACACTACTAATTATGACCATGGGACGAGGGTAAAACACTATATAAATTGGACATATCATTGGTGATCTTTATTTGCTAAAACCATTAAATTAAAGAAGAATATGAGGCTTATCATCTATAAAAATAGGGTTTTTTCACAAGTTGTTGGACTAACTTTGGAGCAGTACAAAATATGGTTAGTGGAAAGTTTGGATTTCTATTTAATCAAAACATATAAAAAAAATGTTGCAATTAATCAAAAAAGGAGGTTACGATTTCAATCGGAGAAAAAGCGTACTCCTTCCATTTTAGTATTGCAAGTGCAACAATTTGATTGACACAAAATTGTAGGAGTTTGAGTTAAATTTGTTAAAATAAATTAATAATACGAATAATTAAAGTGGCTGATTAAATTATCTAGAAGAGAAAATGAGATAATACTTTATTTTAAATTAAGGGTCACGAGAGGTAAAAATAAAATGCACTGGTAGATGATTTCCATTATATAAATGTTGCTTTAGTAAAAGGTCAAAATGTTGTTGCGTTCACAAAATTGAAGCTAGGAGACTAGAACCTATTATTAAAATGCCTTATCCAAGTACCTAATTGTTAGTGAATTTAGATTTCATTTGTACCAAGTATACTTCCTTTGTTTTATTTCATGTGTTTCACTAAAATGGGTCAAATATATTTATTATACATGTTTTAACACACCCTTTCGTCTATTAATAATTGGTTGTGTATTAGTAATAAAAAATTATACTAACACAGTAACACCCCAATAATTCTCTCCTAAAACCTGTAAATACCCTGAACAAAATCCAAGAGAATTACTGGCGTGCTACTGCCACGTGTTCAAACGTTAAGGCTACATCAAATATTAGCAGTGGAAAAACTAAATCAGTTATAATTAAGTTTCAAAAACAACAAATAAAACCAAATTTAGTGATACAAGCTGGAACCATTAAGGCCCTTATTCAAAACCCAACAAAAGTAGTGAATAAATAAAACCAGTTTAAATAAATTCAAACTTATGAAAAGAAATATACTGCGAACAATAACCAACTCTCCACTTAATATCCCACCACCTTGATGCAAGTCCAAACTATGTAAGCACCTGTGATGAGTCTGCTCCCCAATATTACAAGTGTAAAGATTGGATCATTACAAGATCATTGAAAGGCGAAGGTCGTAACCAAAGAAATACACACAAAAGCACGCAATCAGCAACGCTGGGTACATACAAGCTACGTAATATAGTAAGAAATTCCTAGCATGCTACTAACAATCAATCATCGAATACAATTTAATTATAAACTCAAACACATGACTCAACTGTTTACATTACTAAGACTCCACTAATTAATAATAGGTAAATCATTTCATTTTATTCATTGGATTAAGCAATAGACAAGGTTGTCCATCCCATGCTCCATTTGGAACATCAATAAAAGAAAAATCCCATGCCTCCTTTCAGAAACATCAATAAACATCCAACGACCACGGGCGCGACTCCGTGACCGTAGCTAGTATTAGATCTCATCTAACTCCTAGTTTTGAAAAGTATTTGAAATAAGAGACTCGTAGATCAGACAACCTCGAGAAAAGTGCACGGCTAATACCCCGTGTCCCCAACTCCTAATTGTCATTACTCCAGATGTGCACCAATCCAGAGTTTTATTGCTCATCCATCTTGCACTTTACGTGATTTACAAGTTTAGACTTGGTGATGACTCATATGCAAGCAATACAATCAATCCAATATCCATTTAATCAAGTACACCAAATTTCCAATTCAATTCATGATTAATTAGTGACAAGCAATGTTCATTATTGGTTCCTTTAACTTCCTCGGTATATAAACACCTTGAGTGCATAAGGCACCCCCAAAACCTTAACCTCGTCTCATAAGACTTAAATTCGTCCTTTACTCATTCTATTTCAATAATCATAAACGAGTAATAAATAAATCATTCCACCAAATCACATACCTTTTCCTCTAAGCGTATCTTGCAAAATTAATGCATAAATAATACTTGAAAAGTAGAATAGTGCACAACATACGGAAAATCACAATGTATAACCAAACAATTAAGCCCAGTCTTCTCTATACGTGATACTAAGTTCTCGATACATCCCTAAACATGCTTCTAAAGGCAAGGTTTCGTAACTCATACGTACCTTGAATATACGAGTTGGTATGCCACTTTGCTAACTAGAAATCACCTTCTATAAAGTCCTCCCCTAAACAAAACAACAATAATTTAATAAATACCCAAACAATTAAATTTACAGCAATACTAACTTACTTAAAAATCTTCAAAATCCAATTAAACAACAATTTAAAACCTTCCCTTTAGTTAAAATTAAAGGCTTATATATATTTCTTTAAATTTTCTTCATAAAACCTTAAAATACACTCTTATACATGAAATTACAACAAGTTTAAAGTTTAATAAAAATCTGAAAATTATTTGAAAACCCCCTAATAATCTCCCTTTTTAATGAGTGATTAAATCCTTTTTATAAAACATATAAAGTAGTACTTAGAAACTATTTCCAGCACTGTAGATTAATTAAAAACCCTTCAAAACTTTATCAACACATCCCTTTTATACTCAATTAAAAGTCTAATGGAAATAATCACTTCCTAAAAAATAACCAACAATTAATATTACTAACCCAAGTAAGGCCCCGTTCTCTTCACCTTATTTTTGCTGAACTGAAATTATTTTTACTGAAACAAAATTATATTTGCCGAACTTAAATTATATTTACTAAACTTAAATTAATTTTACTGAACTGAAATTATTTTTGCTGAACTGAAATTATTTTTACTGATTTTCTATTATAATTCTTATTTAAGAAAACTGAATTTTACTGAACTGAACTTATTTTTACTGAACTGAAATTATTTTTACTGAACTAAACTTAATTTTACTGAACTGAACTTATTTTTACCGAACTGAAATTATTTTTACTGAACTAAACTTAATTTTACTGAACTGAACTTATTTTACTGAATTGAAATTATTTTTACTTAATATTATTTTTGTAAGGTGAAGAGAATAGGGCCTTATTTCCAACAATATAATATGATGAAAAACCTCCTAAAAACTTCAATAAAAACATATATTATGCTTAATTAACTTTAAACATAATTAATTTTATTAATCAAACTCAAGGATAAAATTTTAAGCATAAAAAAACTTCGATAAAAATCAAAAACTGCCTGAAATCATATTTAGAGGCTGAATTTGGCCACGAGTAGTGATTCTTTCTTAAAACGTTGTTTCCACATGGAAAACACTACTTTTTTTTAATCAAAATCAGATGAGTTCAGAACCTGTTCGGGATTAAAACGGGAATTATTTTTGATGAACTGAAATTATTTTTGATGAATTGAAATTAATTTTACTGAACTGAAATTATTTTTGCTGAACTGATTTTTATTTATTTATTTGTTTTATTCTTTTAATACTGATTTTCTATATATTTCTTCTTTACAATCACTAAATTTTAATGAACTGAACTTATTTTTACTAAACTGAACTGGAATTATTTTTATTTAATATATTTTTTAAGGTGAAGTGAACAGGTAGGGCCTAACACTTATTGTTTTTTTTTATATCTTATGCCAAGTTACCAACATATAATTTTGACTACAAGTCTTTTAAATAATACGATAATTTTTGTCAAAAAATAAAATAAAATGATAATTAAAATTATAATAAAAAATCCGTATTATAAATTATAACTAAGGCCCCGTTCTTTACCTTAAAAAAATAATATTAAGTAAAAATAATTTCAGTTCAATAAAAATAAGTTTAGTTTAACAAAAATAATTTCAGTTTGGTAAAAATAATTTAAGTTCAGTAAAAATCAGTAACTTCAAAGAAGAAATATAACATATTAATTTTAGTTCAGCAAAAATAATTTCAGTTCAGTAAAATTAATTTATATATATATATATATATATATATATATATATATATATATATATTAGATTGAACTGAAATTAGGGAGCCACGCAGTATTTAATTTTCTTAGCGCGCAATGTACGATTATAAATTTTAGTTGTAGCCAATCAAATAAGAGATTATTATTTTCTTATAGAATCAAATAATTTAAATGTCACACAAGCAAAATTGGCGAATGAGATTTTTAAGTTAAACTAATTAAATATAAAATATTATCTTTTGATATTAGGAATTTTAGCTAAATATGTAACAAATTTTAGCACATAAATAAAAAAAATGTTTTAATCATTCAAATAAACCAAAATAATTTAAGTTCAGCAAAAAAAAATAATTTTAGTTTAGTAAAAATAAGAGAAAAGAACGGGCCTAATTACAACAAATTTTCAATTAGACCTAAAACAAATTAAATAATTGATAAAGATGGTGAGCATTCACCAGTACTTTATCTAATCCGTAATTTTTAATTAGAGTTAACACAACAAATTAAACAAGGGATCCCATTCAACAATTACTGGTAGTTTACAACAGGGTATTCCATTGTTGCTCAAGTGTTTCCATCCTTGAAAGCTACGCTGCGAGTCTGCGACATTGCAATCCTCCCTCTCTCTCCTCCATTGAATTGTACTCTGAATTCTCCATTGAATCAGCTCCTGAGCTTTCTCTCCTCCATTTTAAGAGGTAACATGTCTTTTTTAATTTTAATCATCGATCAACATTAAACAATCTAGTGTTAATTGTCAAGTCAATTCAATTCAATTTAGGGTTTTTCTAATCTCGATTGATTATTGATTTATATATTGTATTCCAAGCTTATGAAGGAGATAATCTTGTGGAAGAGTTCATTCTTCCAATTGGTATGAATGTATGATGCTTAATTTTTAAATTTTTAAATTTATTTTAATTTGGTAGGAAAAGAGGTTGAGGACAAGAAGATGGGTAAACGAGGTAGAGCAGCAGTTGTTGTACTGGGGGATATCGGCCGGAGTCCAAGAATGCAGTATCATGCCCTCTCACTTGCTACCCAGGTAATCTCTGGAACGGGGCTAAATGCGATACATACTTGCGGTGTTGCAATCTACACGAGTACTCGTAGAATTTTTTGATGGTGGAATCTCATCACTTGATTGCTGTTTTGTTTATTTTAATGTAGTCTCCAAAAGCTGATTTGAATCTGTAAAGGCAGGAATTATTTACAGTATAATGGATAGCTGTTTATGATCCAGATATTAAACAAATTCCTTAAAATTTGCCTTGGAGATAATATTATTTTCTAGTTCTTCCTTATCAATTGGCTGAATCCTTACTTATTATTATTTTTTTTTCGTTCTATTTTTAATAAGATTATATTTGAATGACTCAATTTTTTTTTGCTGTCTCAGGCATCTCTCGAGGTAGACATTATTGCATATGGAGGTATGTACGGCATTATGTTGCTTACTATGTGATTGTTTTTTTTGGTGTGGTTATTGTTTGTTTGTGTCAGTCTGCATCTGATTATTTGATAATATTTAAACTTTCTCGAAGACATAGAGTTCCAAACACGAAGTTTTGTCTGGAAAACCTTAGTCAGGTTGCTAATGGATTTGACCCACTGAACTCGAAATTGCTTGATCTAAAGCAAACTTGACTGACCTATTTGACACATTTTGCTGCTTATGTTGGGAATTTTTCACCTAATTTTGAAGCTAGTAAGTTGGTATTCCTTGCTTATGTTTTTCAAAGACTAGGAATCCAGGATAGGTCTCAGAAGGTCCAATAAATGGAAATGGGTTCATTCGTGCAAGTATATAGTTTAGGATAGGGAGCTACCGTTTCATGGTGCATGGCCCTTGGGACTTTGTGGCACCATTTTAGGTTTGTGTTAGTATTTTTTTGCTGTGCATTTTATTGTTAATCAGAATGCTGTGTCTTTTCCGCTTTTATATGCTTAGGAGAAAGCTTGTTATCTGCCCTAGGAGAAGAAGAGGGAGGGCTCACACTTCTTTATTCTTCTATTGGCAATATCTATGTGTAAAAACGGGTAAACGTGGGATAGCAAATCCTGCCGTTGGTTTTCTGATTCTCACAAGTTGTCTTCAGAAATTTTTTTAGTTTACCATAAAGTTTCTATTTGCCGTCAACTTTCTTCATCAAGAAGCTTCTTATTTTGTACAACACAATTGAGGATGTTATCGTACTTATCTAGCGACCTGTTTCTTTTTGTAGGTTCTGATCCACATGCTGCTCTTCTGAACCACCCTTCCATTTGTGTACATCAAATGGTAACTGCTTTGGTTTATGCTTATCGCTGTATCATCCAATATCATTCCCCTTTTCCTTAATTTTTTCTTGATTTTGTAGGCACAATGGCCTAAATTTACACAAAAATTACCGTGGGTACTTCGCTATTTTGTCCTTTTGCTCAAGCCACTGTTTCAGCTCCTTGTACTCCTTTGGCATTTGTGCATTAAAGTACCAGCTCCAGATGTTTTCTTAGTTCAGGTGAGCAAGTACACAAAGTTATTTGTTTAAAATTGTTGGTTGAAGCAAATGAAATTACATTTTTTAGCTTATCACAGATCAAATTAGATAAATTTTGTGCTCTGTGGATCAATGTGGAGGGTTCGTTACTTACGGTTCTCTTTTTGACAGTTTGTGGGTTTGAGATATTCTTGTAACTTAACTCAAGGAACTTTGTTGAGTTGTGGTCATCAAGTTAATCCTTTTCGTGGATGATATTTGAAAAAAATCTTAAAAGTATAGTGGATCTGTGGAAGAAAAGCTTATCTTTGTTGGAATTTCCATTTCAGGAAACACTTGCAAGAGGTGGAGTTGGGGTAGGTGTTGGGTCTAGTTCTTAAATGATTTTGATAGAGGTTGTTTGGGTGGTTGTTGAGGTTTATTTTTTCCTCGTGGTACTCTCTTCATGCACTTTATAAAACCTCGCCTCTACTATGTATAGAATTTGGATAAGGTTATCTTCTATAGCTGGGGTTGTGCTTTTGAGAATCTAGAGAGCGACTTTTCAGCAGCAAAGTGCTTTAATATTGAACATTCAATGATAATTTTATGTTTTTGGAATGTAGTCCTTATAACGATATGCCTTGGATGCATCTTAGTCTCTTTAGACCCATATTGATTTTTTGTGGTATAGTCAGCTGAATAAAGGTGTTTTCTTATATATTTTCCTACACTTAAAGCCTTATAGTCACATAAATTGTTATTTAAGAAACTAGTTTTGGAAAGATATGTACATGTCCGAGTGTCATACCCAAGACCTAGTGTCGAGGATCCGACACGGGTATATGAGGTGAAATGGAGAGTCCGAGTAACATAGCTTAAGATTAAACTGTCTCTCCCTTTTTTATTTATAATTTCAAAATGTTTTGTGATAAATTATATGATTATATTTCCACACAGAAATTGCGTCCATGTCCTATATTTTGGAACTGTCATCTTCATGTCATTATTTTACCAGAATTAGCAATGTCTATTTGCATGCCACCTAGCCTTCAAGTGCTCTTAAAGAATAGGCAGGAAAACCCACCTTCTCTGAACCCCTCCACAAGTTTTTTCCAAAAATTAGTCTCCAGATTACGATGCAAGATTAAGTCATTTCTTGTTTTACCACTAACGAACACCAAACTTAGATACATGAGGAGATGATGTTTTATTTATTGTCTGCACTTTCAATAATTTCAAGCATCAAAATTATATACATTTTATCAATACAGTGAATGACTCATTTGTAGTCTTTTAGTTTTGTATATCAATTTTTTTTTGTGAGAATAGTACGAAGTAAGTTGTTTGAAGAAAACTACTTGGGTTTTAAGTTTGATGCTCGTTCCCATTAATAGAAAAGAATAGTGAATTATTTAAACATGTATGATAGATATAAAAATTGATAAGTAAATCTAGAAACCTAAATCCATACGAATTGAGGCCTACATGGCCACATTATGATAGTGTGTTTGTTACTTTGTCAGTACCTCTCATATCTGAAAATTCTTCATATATATGTTTTTTTTGGTTTTGCAAAGAATCCGCCATCTGTACCAACCTTGGTGGCTGTGAAATGGGCAAGCTGGATCAGGCATTCAGCATTCATAGTGGATTGGCACAATTTTGGATACACTTTGCTAGGGCTATCTCTTGGTAGAGGAAGTCGCTTTGTTGCAGTATATCGTTGGTATCTTTCTGATTGGTTAGCTTTTCTTATGTATGCTCTTGCTATCATTGTATCCCATATGCTTATGATTTATTGGTTTTTGTTTTGTATAAAGGTTTGAGAAGCATTATGGACAGCTGGCAGATGGCTCTCTTTGTGTAACAAAGGCCATGCAACATGATTTGGCTCAGAACTGGGGAATCAGGTGAGAGTTTTAGTTTTAATTTTGCAGCCTTCTTGCTGAAATGCTGGTGTCCCCTCAGTGATGCTATATATAGCTTATATTGCATGTAGAGCCACTGTGCTGTATGATCAGCCTCCGGATTTTTTCCATCCTGCTTCAATAGAGGAGAAGCACAGGGTGAGCTACCTTGCCTGTTCAGTTCAGCTTTATGCTTTTGCTTCTACTTTTGAAGTTAATTTTTTTTTTTTTTTTTTTTTTTTTTTTTTTTTGTGAATCATCTACAGCTGTTTCTCAAATTGGATAAAGAGTTCAGACAATCCGAGGGAAATCGAGATTGTATCAACCATGGTAAGATGCAGACGATGTTTTTGAATAATGAAGGTGACATAAACAGCCTATTAAGCTTTCTACTTCTTCAGGAAGCAGACATATGAGGACAGATGAACCCTTTGATACTCTGTTTACAAACGTTTCTGGAGTTGGTGTCTCTGAAAAGTCAACCCGGCCAGCACTTGTTGTTAGTAGTACGAGCTGGTGAGATCTGAATCTGCAAATTTGTAGTTGGTTGATGTGCTTATACTACAACTAGACTTTATATTTCCCCCATGTTAACTGTTTGAAGTTAAATTATTATTTTTCTATATTCTGATGCCTTAGCCTGCTTAATTAAATAAAACTAGCCTTTTGGCCCTTAATTAAATAAAACTAATCTTCTGCCCGTGCAATGCACGGGTTGTTCATAGAAAATTGCATTGAGAGATGATTGAGGAAATACCAATAAATCATTATGGGTGTAATGTGTAACCGAAAACATGATTAAAAAAAATTAAATTTTTAGGACTTTAATTCAAAGTAAGGCTTGAAAAAAAGGTGGAGGGACTAAAATTAAAGAGAGAGAAAAAAAAGGTTGAATTGAAGAGGGGAGATGAAGATGAAGTATTTAATGAAAGAGTTAAGAAAGATAGTGTAATAAAAAATAAAAAAAAAGTAAGAAGACATGTGGCAGGTAAAGAAGACAGGGAAGTGTAATAGGATGGAGACATGTGTCTTTCCCAGTTTGAGTTTTTAAGTACTAAGTATAGATAACCAACAATGGCAATAAGCTGCTGCTTTGTTTATCTGTTCATTTGTCCTTGGAGTGAGGAAGGGCATCCTATAGTGTTCCTCGTCATATCATATAGAAGTTAATAGTTTGATATGTGAGTGAATTATCAGGAGTTTTTTGTACAGCTTTGAATCTGATAGTCGTCTTAATGTAAATCATAATGTATGATCTCCTGAGAGTTTTTTGTATTTGAGCTGCTCTACAAACTCTTAAGTTGATTGCATGTATAATTTTGGAATTGTTAAACTCAAGTTCTATTATACTTATCCTTAATAACCAATGGCCTGTTTTTATACGAGTTTAAGGATCTCTTGGGAATGTCAGAGCTTTTGATTCATGGAGTTCTGTTTTAGTTTACATTATGACCGGGTTTGGTGTGATTTCATTAGAGCTTTAGATGATTTTTATGGAGGAACTGGGGATTATGTTGCAGCTGTGAGTTTTAGTAACATGGCTTTTGCTCCATCCATCCCCACTTCACTGGAATGGAGGAAATTTTTTGGGTAATCCTTTTGTTTTATGAGATTTTTTTTTTTTGAAGCATTTTATGAGATTATCTAGATAACTGTAATTTGAGTAAAAAAAATAAGGTATTAGTGTAGTATAATGAAGGATTTGGGAGACGTGTGACAGAGAAACCTAAACTTCATATATGGAAGAGCAAATGAGAGAGATTGGCTCTAAAAATTATCAATTTTTGGATCAAAACACTCACTATTGTTACAACTTACATATTGTGATTTGAAGGTTTTTCAGTAAAAATGAGAACATTGAAGGTATTTGACTATTGCTATACCATAATAATACCATGGGAACCACCCCCCCCCCCCCCCAACCCAACCCACCTAAATATGTAATAGGAAAAGAAAATTAAGGAAGATCTATATGGGTTTGTAAGGGTTTTAACTCTAAATAAAGACACGAGGGTCACTGGTGTTTTATAATCCTGACACAGGCTCTTAAATTCACATTTGGTTATGTAATTACCTGATTGTAATTGTAAACAGTTTTACAATTCAGTACTTAGTATTTTTTTTATTTCCTGGTAATTGGGTTCTGTACATGGTCTAGGAATGCATAAACAAACAACAATGTGCCATATTGATATTAGAAGTGATTGGAGAGGATTTTATTCTATTTACAAAACAGCTAGGAAAGATGCTAACAGCTGACTAAAATGCTTAGCGCTATTCCCTTTGGCCTATGTTTCATCTCATGAGAGTAATCGTGGGTAATCCTGGGGATGCAAAACCAGAGTGTGAAATGTAATGTGGCTCAGATGGAAAAAGAAAGAAACCCCCTTAGTTTGAGAATGATCAGCTTATGATATTTTGTATTACTGCTGATTTGTCAATACATACTGCTAGGACACCAGATGAAGATTTTGGTATCCTTCTGGAGGCAGCAGTTATGTATGACAGACGTGTTGCAGCAATCTTGAATGAGGACGATTCAATTAAAGAAGAGGTCCTTTGGGATGAAATGAATGACGGGAAACAAAATATATACCCTAGATTGCTATTTGTGATAACAGGTGCTTGTTGTCTAGACTTATGTATGTTTTTATATTGCTTAAGAAATAAGCTTTGGGAATGGAAATTTGACACCCTCTATATTGCAGGAAAAGGCCCTGAAAAAGAAAAATATGAACAAAAAATAAAGAACTTACACCTTAAGCGTGTTGCTTTCCGCACAATGTGGTTGTCAGCCGAAGATTATCCCCTACTTCTTGGTACTATCATTTATATTGGCTGCTTGCTTCCTTTTCTCTGTTGATTGTATTCTCCTGCTGCATAATCTTATTATTTAGCAAAAGGTGTAGTTGGTGATTACAGTGTTGGTTGTCTACAGGGTCAGCTGACCTGGGGGTTTGTTTGCATACTTCCTCGTCTGGATTGGATCTTCCGATGAAGGTATTAGATTCTAATCTTAACCATAGTGGTGAACCATAATTTTTACTGAAGTGTTTTTTTTTTTTTTTTTTTTGGTAAACCTTATTTTTCGCTGGTTAGATATATGAAAGAAGCTGCTAGGAATTAGTACCCGAAAGGCCAAAACAGTAAGCAAGCAAGCTAATTAGATAGGAAAGGGTAGCTAAGGGGGATAATTTGTATTATCAAACTGATACAGTGCCTTCTTTCGAGAGGAAGGGGCTGTCCAATAACAAACTTCTCAACAATATTCAACATGATGATTATTCCTCCTAATGAGGCCTATTTATAGAAAAAATCTCATAACCAACTCTAACTTATTCCCCAAGATACTACTGATAGGCTAGGACTAACATAACCTTCCCCTAATATGGATTCCTTGCAGAAGCTGCCAATGTGCGTGGAATTATTGATATCTAATGTGTTTAACAATTCTGTTGCCAGGTTGTGGACATGTTTGGTTGTGGTTTGCCAGTTTGTGCTGCTTCATACTCATGGTAAATTCTTAAGCTTTTGTTTCTTGCAATGCTGTTTCAATGTTTCAGCAATTTCTCCATTTCATTAATATTCACTGGTTTGTTGAATCGTATAGCATTGAGGAGCTTGTCAAAGTTGAAAGGAATGGTCTTCTTTTCTCATCTTCTTCTGAACTTGCAGATCAGCTCTTGGTAAATCCTCTTGAGTCTTAAATTATGTTTTGTGCCTTCTACACTTTTTTATTTTTGGTTTATTGACTGGGTTGTGGACAATGGCAGAGCCAGAATTTAGCAATAGTGTTGTATGCAATTGTACATACATACCCTGTACACCCATATTGAACATCAACTAGTTTAACTGGTTGAAGTATTGGGATGGTATTCAATAACTAAGATCAAATCCCTTTGACCCTCTCAGTTCCTTTCCTGATAAACATTCCCCCACCCCCCCCCTCCCAAAAAAAAAAAAAAATCCTTTTTCTTTTTGCTAAAACTTGTATAAGCATAGCCTTACAGTGCGGAACAATTTTCTAAAAGTAAATTGTTCATCTGGGATTACGAGGAGCAAATTTTAGGTTTGAACAAACACTAGCATTGTACATGATGAATGATGTGTCTATAAAGTGATTGCACATCAAGATCGTATTGGTGGATATAATCATGCAATCTTGTATAGAGGTCTGAATACACCAAGACAATATATTATCTGAAACTAGGCACATACTTCTTTAATTGGGAAATGTGGAACACATCATGCATTTTCTCGAATTCCATTGGCAAAGCTAACTTATAAGCCACTTTTCCCACACTTTGTAAAATTTCATACGACCCCACATATTTAGCACTAAGCTTTCCTTTCTTGCCGAATCGCATCACACCTTTTGTTGGAGAAACCTTTAGAAAGACCTTGTCCCCAACACTTAACTCATCATCCCTTCTCTTCAAGTCGGCATAACTCTTTTGTCTATCTCGTGCTGCCTTAATTCGTGACTAAATCAGTCTCACCTTGCTTACCATATCCTCAATTAATTCTGTTCCCAAAGTAACACGTTCACTGTAATCATTCCAGCACACTGGCCTTCTACACTTCCTTCCATACAATGCTTCAAAAGGTGCTATCTTGATACTTGTATGGTAACTGTTGTTGTAGGAGAATTCGATCAAAGGTAAGTGATCCTCCCAATTCCCTTGAAAATCTAAAGCACAAGCTCATAGCATATCTTCTATTGTTTGGTTTATTCTCTCAGTTTTGACCATCGGTTGCCGGATGAAAGGCAGTGCTCATCTTTAAGGCTGTTCCAAGGTTTTCTTGCACTTTTTGCAAAAACTTTGATAGAAACCTCGAATCTCTATCCTACATTATGTCCTTGGGGACTCCATGCAAACCATCTACATTCTTCACATAAATACTTGCTAGCTGCTTCTTTTTCCAGGTCTCCTTGATAGGAATGAACATCGCCGACTTAGTTAGTCTGTCCACAATTACCCAAATCGTGTCATTCCCACTACGAGTCTTTGGTAACCCTGTCACAAAGTCCATAGATATAGAATCCCATTCCCATCCCGGTATTTCCAATGGTTGCACCTTTCCCATGGGTCTCTTGTGATTAGGAATGTCAATGGGGCGGGGCGGATGTTGGCCTTTCCATCCCCATCCCCGCGGTGGGCTAATATTCATCCCCATCCCCGCCCCACCCCCCACTTGGATATCCATCCCCACCAAATATCCGCCTAATCCCCACCCAAGACCCACCTAATCTCCGTCTCTCAAATACACAATCCTACATAATTAATACAGATTATAATATTAAAAAAAAAATCTTAATATTACACACATTTTTATTTATAATATAAGTGTAGTACAAAGTATTATAATTAATATTTTATTTCACGTAATTATTTTATAAAGTAGTATAAAAGTATATAGATGTGGGTATGAGGTGGAGATGGGGCGAGCACGAAGTGGGGCGGGAGGGTGATAAAGGAATAATTGCGTCGTTAGACAACTACACCTAAATCAAATGCAATTTATAACACTCGACTTATCCTGTAACACCCCAATAATTCTCCCCTTTTTCAAACCACTTACTTTAAATAAAATAGTGGAGAACTATTGACATGTTACCGCCACGTGTTAAAATGTTAAGGCTTTATCAAAGTATCGCAGCGGAAAATCAAACTTAAGTCTTTAAAATAACATAGTTTAGAAAACGAATAAGTCAAAGCTTACAAATTGGAACCATATAAGGCCCTTATTTAAAACCGAACCAATAATCAAAGACCAAAACATAAACGAAATAGCAAAGCATAAATAAGTTCAACACAAGAATCGAATACTCTCAATCACACCAATCCCTTCACAACGCGTTTATCAAATCCCTGAACTTCACATCATCAAGCTAGCCTGTGCAATACTGCTCCCCAATAATACAAGTGTAAGAATTGGATCATCACAGAGTCATTGAAAGGCGAAGGCCATGACCAAAAGAAAACACACATAAAAGCACGCAATCAGCAAAGCTGAGTACATACAAGCTACAACGCACAAAACCTATCATGCTCTACTAATTAAAGTAAATAAACATACAACACGAATTCATTAATCAAGACTCCACACTTAAACAATTTAATTGACTCAACATACTTACTAACAAATTCCAAACACTTGACTCTTTATGTTTAATTTTATTAATTTAGTTTGGAGTAAGCAATAGACGAGGTTGTCCAATCCACCAAATCATTTTGATCCTAAATGACCATTTAAAATAAAATTTTAGTGCAATGCAAGAATGGGGCCGACTCCATTCTCACAAAGTTAGTCTAGGATCCCATCTAATTTTCATTGTAAAATAAAAATGTAAATACCAAAGAAAAGAGGACATGTTGATCAAACAAGCCTCGGAAAGCCACGGGCTACCACCGTGTACCCCAACCCATAATTGTCAATACTCTAGAAGTGCACACTTTCTAGAGTTTTATTGCTCATTCATGTTTCACTTTACGTGATTACAAATTTAATTAATAGCCGACTCAATCAAATAGACCATACATAAAAATCATACATCAATTTACTTTTAATCTTATTTAGGACAATGGTGATCACATCACAAATTGACCTTTAATTCCATTAAACTTCCAAATTATCCAAATTGTTGAACATAGTCAACCCACCTAGCCATTTCGGCTTAATAAACCTTTACTCAACATACTAACAAGTCATGATTGAGTAATTAATAAATAAATAAATAATAACCTTGTGGAATATTTAATAAATTCATTCCACTTAAACCATTCAATTCCAATCCTTTAATAATCCAAATGTGGTTAACAAACCAATCCAATAAAATTATGCCTGTATTAACATTCCATACAAACAATTAATCCAATATAATTCAATATGTTTGCATCCATAATTCCATACAAACATAATCAATTCACCAAAACATGTCTCATAAACATAAGCACATGAATTAATTAAATGTATAACCAAACAATTTTCATCCAAGTGTTCTCTAATCATGAAGTTAAGTTCTTTTCTTTTGGTACCTAAACATGATACTACTTACAACGAAGTAGACATGTACGTACCTTGTATAAACAATCCTTTATGCCACTTTTAATCAATTAAAAGTCTTCTAGGGAATAATCACTTCCTAGAAAACAACCAATTATCACAAATTAATACTTAACCAAATTTCCAGCAATATAAATTAGATTAAAAGTTCTTAAAACTTCCTTAAAAACATGTTTTTATGCTTAGTTAATCAATAGAAATACAATAGGAACAAAAGCCCCAAATTAATTGATCATAAGAACCCTAAAATCCCAATTTCAATAAATCAAAACCCTTGGTTTATAATTCATAAAATCTGAAAATTTATAACATAATTAAAATCTGAAATTATTAGTTTAAAACATCAAAAACATGATTTTGATACTAAAAATATAATCTTTATACTACAAAATCAAAACCCAAAACAATTTAATAATAAACAAGATAGTAGAACAAAAATAAAAGGAGGAGGAAAGAGGGGCAGCCACGGTGGGCCACGGCTGGGCCGCTTGGTGGGTCGCTGGCGGTGGTGGGCGGTGACCGGCGACCAGCGGTGGTGGGCAGCAGGCGGCAGCAGGGGAAGCAGTGAGCTATGCTCACGTGAAGAAAGAAAAGAAAGAAAGAAAAAGAAAAGAAAAGGGAAAAGAAAAGGAAAGAAAAAATAAGGGAAAAAAATAAAGAAATAAAATAAAGAGAAGAAAGTTTACTAACCTTTTTGTGTGGGGAAAAATTTGGGGATGTATGGGGTATTTATAGGAGAGAGTTGTAGGGCAAATAGTAAGATTGAGCCTCATAAAATTAATGGGCCAATTAAGTAAATAAGATGAGTTTGGCTTTGTTTGTTTGGACATGAATTATAGGATGAAGGTATGTATAAAAATTTGTACCAAAATAATTTTCGACCCAAAATTAAAAATTGAAACTTTTGAAATTAAATTCCGGAAAAATACAAATAAATATTATAAATAATATATAATTTCATTTATAATACATTTAAAAATATTGGGGATTACATATCCTAATACAAGTATATGGCAAGAAGAGGGGTCGAACCACAGGGACAAGCACATAAACACCGCATTCATCACTAGACTTTAAGCTATCTCAGGATAGAGGATAGGAATGACTAAGAGATTAAACTAAAGATAAAACGAGTTAAAATCAATATAACTAAACACCAAGGGAGATGGGTAGATGTAGATGCCGCTTGATCATGCAAGAACATAAAAGCAAATCAATAATGAACTAAACATGCATGAATATCGATATAAGGTTCAATCTAACCGCCTTCCGGGGTTAATCGGTTTCTCCTAACATACCCTCTATGTTTCCACACTAGAACCATATATTGGGAGGTGCAATCAAAGAACAATCGATAGTAATGAATCTTAACTAAGTCAACTTCCGTTCCTTGTTAGTAAAGATTCACCTTTAATCAACTAACAATGTGCACTTGCAAGAAGATCAAAGAATATCAAACATGCAAAGATTTTAATCACAATTAACTTAATCCCAATATTATAAGCATGAACAATTAGCAACTACACCATCCCCACACCCTTGGCTAAGAGACTACTCACAAATCATGTTGAGAACAATATCAATCATCAAATCAATAAGCATCAACATGATTAATAAG